ACTCTGCTATCTTGGTTGATCAATCTGCATGCCTAGCTTGTGTACATGCAGGAGATTATTACTGTATTAATAGTTGGCAGATGAGTTCAATTGCTAAATGTATACTGCTTTAATTTCTTGGTATATGTATGCTTGTACGACATTCAATGTAAGCAGTGATCTGACCTATTCTACCTCGTAAAAACCTGTGAATGATTTTTCCTTGTACTACGGCTAAGCCTATTCTTGATGTCTGAAACACTTGCAAAAGATACATGACAAAAAACAGATAAAATATTAGGGATAGAAACTTGCAACATACGTGTACAACTATTGCAATATACGCAACATCTCGATCTACTGTTGCAACATCCACATGAAACAGATGAAACGTCTGAAACACTTAAAACATACTCTTGCAACATGTCTAAAAAACATCCAAAAACACTTGAAACACATCATCACCCGTGCGGCCATGACCTACCTGGTGGAGAACTATGGTGGAGCATGCCTTCCCTTCCAGCCGACGACGCGAGGTGGATGTCTTCTGCGACGGGCGAGGTGGATCGCTGCGGCGCTAGATGGTGCGTGCCCACATGCCCCCACCATGCCCGTCGTCGATCGAGGGAGAGGAGACGCTGCCGGATCTAGGGAGGGTACCACCGGTTGAGGTAGGGGAGGGTCAGCAACGTGCTCGAGCCCACCGGCCAGATCTGATGGGACGCGGGGGAGGGTCACGACCGCCATGGAGTGGGGGAGGGGACGCCATGGAGACCGCTAGGCTTGAGGCTGACGCACGTGGAGGAGGGGTGCCGCTGGATCCATGGGGGAGGAGAGGTTGACGCCATGGCAGTCGCAACGGTGATTTTTTTTGAAGAATAGAGACAGCGGCTGCGGTTAGGAACTTGTGGACGAGAGGCTATGAGCCATATGCAGATGGGGGGGGGGGCGGTGCGCCGATGCGGGCAGGGTCTGTTGGGCAACTCGGGCGGGTCCGTCTGTCTGCACGGACAGACGAGCGAACTTTTGCCACGTTTTATAACATTTTTTTGCTCCTTCCATGGTTACTTCAATAGTTCAGTTCATGTTGGTGCTTCCCTCGAGATTGGGTGGGGGATTCCGTTGGTGCAAGTGAAATCCCAGTATGGGACTTTTCCCCAGGGTTTATCTCCCCTGCATCCAAAGGAGCCCTTAGAGCAACTCCAAGAGACTGTTCATATCCTTCCTAATTGCTACAAATGGAGATTTTGATGAGAAAATACCCTCCAACAACTTTTATATTTGGTTATCCAAATTAGTCATCTTCTATTTCGGATTTCTCGCTAGTCAAAATTAGAAAACGAAAATGGCTATCTTGGGTATTCACAAGATATAGAAAAACTATTGGAGAGTAGAAAGATATAAAATATGATTTTTGTACGAATGGCTCTCCAAATGATGATTTAGAGAATAAGATTTAGAAAGACTCTCGGAGATACTCATAAAGTTAAATTATTGCTGGTAAAACATATCATAAGTATTGCTATTTAGAATCATATTGTTAAGCATTTAATATCCCGCTATATACATATAGAGTGGTGCACCCCTCCATCTCCACCACTGCTCCCGTATTACAAGTGGGGATTTTTTTTCTTTTTTCTTTGAGGGGGACGCGCCAAGTGACGAAGCGCGTGCGATATAGGGATCCCAGCAAATAGCTTTCCCTTCCCGTAGGGAAAATTGGTTGCATACATGTGCGGATTCAAGGGTATTCCCTTGTATTTTTAGAGTACCCAACTATTTTGGGACACTTATATATATATTCATATGTATATATGTATAATACACCATTCGGGAGCATTTTCACTTAATTTAGTCTAAAATCTTAGAGTTGGCTAGCTGAACAATTTGTTATTTGAGTGTGACTTTAATCATCGGTAACATATTACTCTAAATTATATTTTAAGTCTATGGATTTGGATTATTTTTATGATATGGAAACCCAAGTTTTAAATCCTGGCTCCACCACTGGTTATGTAGCATTTAAAGATCGCAATCTTCATAAAATACCACCGAAAAGTTTACGCCGTCATAAAATACCACCGAAAAGATTGGACTGTGAACTGAAAGTAATATTCTGGGACGGAAGTGACTGAACTCGCCGTGAACTGAAAGATTGCAATGTTCTCGTGGGCGCTCGCCGCGAACGTGAACGGCTCCTGCAACACCACCGCCACTACGGTGGAGCAGTAGGCGGTGGAGGAGGTGGAGGAGGAGCAGGAGCAGTCGGTGGCGGAGGAGTACAATGGTGGAGCAGTAGGCGGCGGATGCGCACAGCGGGGGAGCAGGCGGCGTCGCACGGAAGGCATGCCTCCAGACCCTAGAAATTCTTCCACCTCCTCCATCCGTTTTTCCTACCTTTGGTCGACAGCTCGCTCCTCCTCCCAGATCTTCCGATGTTCCTCTCCTTTTTGCGTCAATGCTGTGAGGATCTCTCTGTGTGAGCCGGATCGTTCCAGTGGGTGCGGCGTTCCGATAGATTTTGTTTTTTCTTTGTACCCGTGGCTCTAGCATTCTTGGTTCTGGAACTCTGCATTGCAACTTAATTGAAGAAGCAATTTGCGTACCTATGTGTCAAAATATTTTCTACTTCCGAACTGTCATCCGAGGTCCGGAACTAGAGGCATTTATCTGTGACATTATAAAAGTTTATAATTATCCATAAGTCATTAAAAATTTTGAGCGGTCATAAGTGTCACTGGTCGGAACTTTTTTATCCTCGATGCCATTCCCGTCGTATTCTGTTAGTTTTCAACGGTTTGACCATCCTGACATATATGCCCGGCTAGTTAAAATGTCTAGAATACCCCCATCTTGTTTCTAGCCGGCAACCCTATCCTCTGTAGGCCCTCATCGAGAGCGGCAGCTGCAGAGCCCGGCGGCTCCTCTGCAGCGGGCGGCGGGCAGCCGAGTCGCGTAGGGCTGTGCGGGCGCGTGGCTTCAAGGTCGTCTTCTTCCATGGCTTCACCGGACAGCAGCTCCCGCGTCGACACCGGCTCCCATGACCGCACCGTACCTCGCCGCGGGGAGGCGCCCGCGCCTGCGTCGTCCTCGGCTTCGACGCCGTGCTCTGCTCGGGCTCCTTTTCGTAGAACGCCTTTACCGTAGTGCCGCAGGACCTCCGTGGCCGCGCCGGTGCCTTTGCCGAGAGGATTAGCCCCGCTGTTTGCGTCCGCGACGACAACACCTTGCGCACGCGCGGATGCGGCTTCATGGTGCAGTCGCAGTAGTTCTGCGGGCGCTCCGGTGGGATGTGCGACGCCTCGGTGACGATTCGTCATGGACACCCTTCCCTACCCTCATCGTCAGCCTCCGCCGCCGGCGTCATCATCGAGTAGGCGCTTGTCCAAGGCTTGGATTGCGTTCGTCGGGGTGGTGATGCACTGATGCTGGAGTCGCTGACGGGGGCGGTGCGCCATCTCCAAGGATGCGGAGAGCGGGAGCCCCACGGCCGCTTCTGCACGCTGCGCAGCCTCGGCTGCTTCACCGCCACGGCGGCGCGCATGCCGCTGATAGTGCTGCTTTCGGCCAGTGACTTCGATCTCGGCGCCATATGGATGCTGATTTCACGTACTCGACACTCGCAGCGGGCACCTCCTTTGTAGCGGGCGGCGCGGTGCCGGTCAGTGCCCCTTCTCACCGGCATGTGCAGTGTTAGCTACCCTCCAGATGCGGCTTTGGTCGCCGTAGACTCGGCTCCTTTTCGTCACATAACAGGACGCGTTCGATGATCCATGGACACTTCGGGCGTTATGTGCGAAGGATCAGTTGCATTTTTTTTGAATTTAAGGAGCTGTTGCATTGATGATGAAGAAATTGACGAACGCGTCGTCTCTACGGCCGGCCGGCCGGCTTGCACAGGTGCACGTACGCTTTCCCCGGTGACTAAAGAAGCTTACTGCTGCAACTTGCATATACGTGTACATACTTCTATTAGCTTGTCGCATACCTATATATACGTACATGATACACACATGCAACTTGCTAGCCTGTTTCTTCCGGCACACCTCGCGTACGTAGGCGATTAGTTCATGCATCCTGCCTCTTTTCTTTATAGGGTAAATACGTGAATGCTTAGAGCATCTCCAAGAGTTCGCTATCTCAACTTCGCATCCATATAATTTTGGTAAAACAAGAAAAAATAGCCTTCAACAGTTTGGCAAAACAACTTGACATCAATAACAACTTGACAAATCTTCCCTCCGCGCGCGCAAATATACGCGCGCATATAGGGCTTGGCATCCGGGGCTCTTCGTTTCTTAGCGGGGCTCTTCGTTCGCTTAGCGGGGCTCTTCGTTTTGTTAACGGGTTTTTTTATTTTACCAAGTCAAAAATGCCAAACTCTTGAAGATGGATTGTTTTTTTATTTGGCATATAAATTTGGAAGTTGGCAAATCACAAGATTTGCCAAGTAAAATTTGATAAACTCTTAGAGATGCCCTTATACATTCTGGTTACTAGCTAGCTTCTTGTATTGTTAGAGCATCTCCTACAGATAGGCTAAATGCATTTGTGTAGGCTATTATAGCTACTGTGGTCAAAAAAAAGTTGTCCAACAGATTTTCTATCCGGTCTTCTATTTTTCACAGCTTGCCATCCCGCAGTCGTCGCTGGCCATTTTTCGCATGCGAGGCTCGCTTGCTATCCGCGGCGCCAATGGAAACCCGTGCGCAGGCTTCGCCTCTCTCGCGCTCGATTTCTTCTCCGCGCGTCGGCGCCAATGGAATCCCGCGCGTAGGCTTCGCCTCTCCCGCGCTCGATTTCTTCTCCGCGCGTCGGCGCCAATGGAATCCCGCGCGTAGGCTTCGCCTCTCCCGCGCTCGATTTTCTTCTCCGCGCACCAGCCTCTCCGCTCCCGCGTGCGCCCCCCTGTCGTGCTCCTGTTTTTCTCCCCATCTCCATACTTGCTTCTTCTCGGCACCTACTTCTTCCTCTCTCCACGACGCGCATCCCTTCGAGGACCTCGGTCGTGCCGAGGCACCATGTCGCAGGCACAAGTAGAAGGGGATCTGATGTCTGCGAGCCACGGCCACGGGGACCCCAATTCTTCTGAGCTCCACTCGTTCCCCATCTTCTCGGCGGCCAGCGGTTGGGAGCAACAGCAGTTGCCGTCGTTGCCTTGGTTGCAAAGTGCAGGGGTACCTGGGCTACGGCGTGGAGTTCTTCCTCCCAATGCTTTGCACGTTGATCAGCCCCTTGTCCGGCATGTATTCCGGTGAGATCCAAATACCTAGATCCAATTTTTTTGTTTTTTAATAATCAAATATTGATGGTTGGTTTACTGGAGTCTGTTGCTGCCGATGTGAAATCATGTGCATTTAATTGCTCTCAAGTCAGCCACCTGTGATGTGTGATGTCTCTTGCTTGCCTTACAAAATTGGTCTTGTTTCAGCTATAATTGTTCTTGTGGTTATGTCCATTGAGAGGATAATCGTCGATCTATGAGTTTCATCATACATGTTGACTTGTTAGTATGATCTTTAGCAAAAAATGATCTTTCAACCAGATCTGTCCTGAATTAAATGTGGCCTTACCATGGGCTGAACATAAACAAATATTGTGTAGAAAACAATCCATATGAATTGATTTTGTATGAGTTTTTCCCTGTTTATTGGTTGCATCTCACGTTCTCCACTAAGTTGAAAAAAAGGAGTACACGCGACCATTCTGAATTAAATTACTCCTGGAGGTTCAAGAGTCATCATCTCGGTAGAGAGCAGCTGTAGCACATGAGTCATTGGCTTATGAAAACATTCTTTGGCAATTACTTGTGAATGAAAGCATTCTTGTGAACTCAGATTTGGTGAGCTCTGAATCATGAAAGCATTCTTGCTACTTTTAGATAGTAGAAGTTCGACTAGTTGCGTGAAAGTGAAGGTAGTGATTGTGCATATTTACAAATTTATTTGTTGAACTAGAGCTTGTGTATTTCAAAGTATGTTTAGTAATTTAATTCTGTGAACAGTATGTTACCCTCTTCTTTGTAATCATCCAATTGCTGAACTGTGCATATAATGAGTTGAGGTCAGAGTTTTCTGAAACTTATTCAAGTGTCTCATCCTAATTTGCTATCAATAGTAGATTTTTATTCATCAGATTTTTTCCAGTTGAAACTCTCTAGCTCTGTACCACATCTGAAATGAACATGTAAGCTCAGATGCAATCTGTGAATACCTATGTATTGCGAGTACCTGTGAATGAAAGCATTCTTGGCAATTACTTGTGAATGAAATCATATTTCAGTCTATGATCTTGATTTACTGTTTTGATCTATGATCTTGATTTACTAGTGAATGATACCACATCCGGAATGCTTCAGCTTTTACCTGCTTGTTGAAATCATATTTGAGTCTATGATCTTGATTGTCCCTGTGGTATTTTTTTCACGGGCACCATGGATTCGGAAAGATCTTTTACCGACATCATTACAAGGGGATGTAATCCTGCAGCTTTTGTCGATAATGTCCCAACTCCTAATGAAACGCCAGATTGTGATGAGGCCCTAGCAAGTGTGAAAGGGAGTCGAAAAGGTCCAAGAATTTCAAAGAAAGACGAGGACGAATTGTTGGTCTCAGCATGGCTAAATGTGAGTTTGGATCCAGTTCACGGAGTTGATCAATCACGTTCGACATATTGGAAAAGAATATATGATTATTTTCATATCAACAAGACATTTGATTCTGATCGAACGCAAAGCTCCCTAATGAGCCGGTGGTCTGGTATTCTACATGATGTGAACTTATATGTCTGGTTATGTTTCAAAGATAGAGGCTAGAAATCAAAGTGGTTTATCTATCGCTGATAAGGTAAGATAGCATACCTTGCCCTTCCAATTGTATATGATGTTTCTCTGATAATGGAGAAGCGGCAAAATAATTCTCGGTTGGCCATCCATGAACTGCTAGCAAAAGATTGTAATTCTGAAACTATCTGACCAATTGTATATGATGTTTCTCTATGTGATGCAGTCTCTATGTGTTTGATTTTGCAGAAAAAAATGCATTAAAAATGTTCAAGTTTGAGGACAAGCAAGACCGCAATTTCCCTTACCTCCATTGTTTGGGAAAATTGAAAGACAAGGCCAAGTGGAAAAATAGAAGCAATCAGAGTGGAACGACTTCAAGGAAAAAGCAAAAGACCACGGCGAATTCAAGTCATGTAGCGGCTACACAATTAGTTGTCACTGCTAATGGTGAAGAGAGTCAGCAAAGAATGCCTATAGTGGATGTAACCTACTGTGGAAGAAGAAGGAGAAAGACAAATTACGACAATGTTCCAAAGATCGAAGCATTGGATTATATGTTGGCAAAGAAGAAAGAGGTGACATAGAGAAGGATTTGAAGAAAGAGGAGAGGTGCAAAAAGCCTTTGCATTGCGGGAAGAAAGGATCGAATCGAGGAAGAAAGGAAATGAAATTGAGGAAGAAAGGATCGGACTTGAAAAAGACAAATTTGAGTTCGAAAGGAACCTTGAAGAAGAGAGAATTATGAATGTCGATACAAGTACCATGTCCACCAAACAGCAGCTCATCAGTATGAACAACTCGAATGACATACTTGTACCTGCGTATAAAAAAATTAGATAAAGTATCATATTGTTCTCGTTTTCTTAATTATTTGAATCATCGGATTGATACAATATGATATTGTGGTGGTTGTATACAGCTGGATTATCACATTTTGTTACATACAGTATCACATTTTGTGAGGTGGCCTTCACACATATATTCGAAATCTATGCAATGTAAATAAGCCAACAACCATGCACATTATTTTTTTTTATTAAGCACGGTCACCATCGTGTAGGAAACAATAATTATAAGCATAACATCATTACAGTCCAACGACAAATGAAATCAATCATTAATAGTATTATTGTATAAATCTGATAATTTTGCCACAAGTGCTCAATAAGATCGGCCTGAAGTTGTTGTGTGCGCTTTTCTTGTCCTTGATGTTCTTGTAATTTTGAATGAAAGCATCGAGCTCAGGGGTACTATCATGGGATACTGTCACCTTTTCTCCCATGTCGTCGTAATTGAAATCATCTTCGTCATCCCCCTCATCCTCAACAATCATGTTGTGCATAATGATACAAGCGTTCATGATTTCTCCGAGTGTGTCCTCATCCCACAAACGAGCTGGTCTTCGAACAATAGCAAAGCGAGCTTGTAGAACCCCAAACGCTCTTTCAACATCCTTTCTACATGCTTCTTGTGCCTTAGCAAAATATTTCTTCTTGTTACCTTGAGGTTCTGGTATGGTCTTCACGAAAGTGGGCCAAGATGGATATATGCCATCTGCGAGATAATAACCCATTGTATAATTGTTTCCATTGATGCTATAGTTAACCCTGGACCCTCACCTTCAAAGAAGCCTTGCAAAAACAGGAGATCTTTGGAGAACATTGATATCATTATGTGAGCCTGGCATCCCAAAAAAACCATGCCAAATCCAAAGATCTTTAGAAGCAACCGCTTCTAGTATAATTGTAGGATCCTTTTTGTGCCCCACGTACATACCCTGCCATGCAACAGGGCAATTTTTCCAGGTCCAGTGCATGCAATCTATGGAACCAAGCATACCGAAAACCTCTTCTCTCACCAATTGCAAGCAATCTAGTCAGATCATGTTCATTAGGCATTCTCATGTACTCATGACCAAATATATGAACAACAGCTCTGACAAACCTTCTCAAACTCTCTAGAGCAGTACTCTCACCAATACGAACATAGTCATCCGTAGCATCAGCCGCTACTCCATAAGCTATCATCCGAAATGCCGCCACAACCTTCTGCAAACAAGATAGTCCTAGGGTACCAGCTGCATTTCTCTTTTGCACAAAATAGTCGTCATGCTCCTCGACAAAGATTCATTATACTGGACAAACACATGACGCCTCATTCGAAATCTATGCAAGAAGACAATTTAATTAGGCGAAAATCGAATGCATATACAAGGTATAATTGAAAAGAAATATGGGGTACGTACAAACCTGCGCCTGAAATAATTTGGCCCGTATGTAGGATCATCTGAAAAATAGTCTTGATAAAGTCTCATGTGCCCTGACTGTCTATCACGATTTAATACACGATGTCCTCAACGGAACCACGATAACGTGGTTCATTGCCAATATCCGCTGCTACTATGTCTCGCAGCGCAATATATACAATTCATCGTCATCATCCGAAGATGATGAATCCACCACTTCATTCAAGCAGATTGAACTCGGCTTCGTAATCCATTACACACCTACGGCTCCGTGGCGAAGGGGATGGATTCACCTGAGAAAATCTGAATGCATGAAGTGCTCATCGCGATTGCTTCTTTCCACTCCACCGTCGCCGAGCGGGCGCGGCCAGGCAGGGACAGCCGTACCAATTGGTGCGCCGCCAAAGGGGTAGGCGTCGTTGAGAACAGAACGGGAGGCTGCCGTGTGTTGCGAGCAGCAGAACGGGAGGCGGCCGTGCGTTGAGAACAGAACGGGAGGCGGCCGTGCGTTGCGAGCAAGCCAGGCGGCGGTGCTGCGTTGTCTTGGCGCGTGCTGCGTTATAAACCAGGCCTGGTGGCCATGTACCGACCAACCGTCTTGGCCCATTTAAATATAGAAAAGGACCATTTAGCTAGGCTGCTGTAGCCATCATGTTTTTGAGAGGCTTTTCTATTTTACATGTTGGTTAAATCAAGAGATTTAGCATTTATTTTTAGCTAACCTGTAGGAGATGCTTAGTATGTGATCAACAACCCCCGCAGATAAATATAGATGACGCCATGTATAGTGGCCGCCTATCTGGTGGACTCTCTTTCTTAAATAAGTTTGAGCTCCATTACGTATTCTGAGAAATATAATAATATATATGCTCCGTACATGCAATGCAAGTTCCTGCTAACACTATATAAATAAACACTAAAAAAGATTATTGTGATGTATTTTGTCCCTTAGCTACAATTTTTTGTTATGATATCTTATGCTAAAGTTCTATGCAGTTTTCATTTTTTATCAGGTAGTACAAGTACTCGCTTTCGGGGATGATGGGCACGACGCTCCTCGTCCAACCGAACGCTCTTCTGCTCCATCCTCAATTTGGCGCCAAAACACTCATCCAACGAGTGGCACAGGAGGAAAATGAAATTTCAGCTCGCTTCTTTAGTCTAAGGGTATTTAAATCTTTTCGTAGCTCAGTTCGAGACCGTTAGCATCCAACGTGGACGGAATGGCGTGGAGGGGGAAAAAAAGTTTCGACCAATGGCACATGTGATCGCTCAAACTTTTTAATGGCATGTGGGTAATTACAAACTTTTATAATAGCATACAGGTAAAAGCCTCCCAGAATTAAGAGGTGACTGCAAGCGGTTTTAAACCACAGACATAATAAACCTGTACAGAGTAGTGTGTTTGATTCCAATAGCTTTTTTGGTTTGTTTTCTTTTTCGTGTGGCTCTAGCGTTCTTGCTAAGTTCTGAAATTATGCATGCATCTTCCCTAAAGGAACTTAATTAGGAAGAACCAACTAATTAGCAATGAGCCATTAAATGACGTGTCATTCTGTTGTGCATTGTTAATGTGCTTGCCTGTAATTGTAAAATAGAATTTCCTGGTTAGTAGAGTCATCAAAATTTAGCTATGCATATGGAGCAATATAGAGGGCAATTATCAGATATATCTTTTTGTCTATATTATAGACTAGCAATTCTGTGTATAGGACAAGGAAATATTGTTTGTTACTTATAAAGGATCGGCAGCTTTGTTCTTGTCTAACATTAGTCCCTCCCAAACACTTGGACTTAAATTTTCTTGTCCAATACATCATCCAAGGGTAGGAGTGATACATCCAGTGGCCAAACACTTTCTTAGACACCTCCATATCCTAGAGGATTTGGATATATATGATCTAGGATTTAGTTTCTGGTGCCCTACCAAGTTGCCCCTGAGAGAAGCATGTTTCTTCCCATGGGCCACGGCCCACCACTAAAAGCCACCCTGCAATAGCATTTTTGTTACAAGATTAGAACATATTGTGAAGAAAAAGGAAAATGAGTAGACAAGTACCGAACTTATCAGGGCCTTCCAGCCTCTGTCCCCAGCTCTCTTCAACAGATTCATCCCTATCCTTGGATCTGGAATCTGGATGATCCACTAGTGGCACCTTCCCATGTCCTCGTTGTCATGCGCCTTCATCAGTTCGTGCCGAACTGTTCGAGATCAACATAGCCAGCTGGCAAACCTAGGTTTTTGCACTATTCGTTTATGATCTGGTCTCAGTTATAAATTCTTAGATTGAGGTTACGGTTCTGCTTCCGGTGTGCTAATATATCGGTTGATTCTTGCTGCTGTGCTTTTCTCTTTGTGGGTAACTTCATCTATATTTCTTTGGTGCCGTGGATTGTCATCTTCAAAGAAAAAAAAATGCAACTGGGGATGAAAAGCACACATTTGATGACTTATAGGAATGCCATCCAGGGATGGTCTACTTAATTGATATAAAGCAAGGCAAAATAAACGAATGATATATTTTTTTTATCTTTTGTCTTTGTGTTAGAACTTAGCTAGTGGTTCCTTGGAATTGTACCTCTGTTGACTATTGACTGGTGCACGTAGTGACTTCCATATCTCTCAGATGGTGTCTTGTTATTGTTATGACGACAATCGAAGTTGTTGTTTCTTTTGTTTCGTCACCTTGCACCTTCAATTTCATCAATGTTTTGACGTTTTTGGATATTTGTTGTAGCTTCAGTGTTAGTCAACTTCATAGGTTCGTTTTGTTTAAGTTTAAGTGATTAACTGTACTTCACTTTTGTTCTTGCCTAGTTACCTTTGGACTCTCCATAATGATGTTCTGCTTTTCTTATATACGCATGCAGCTGTGTGTAGTCAGTTTTATTTATAACTATCTCCAAAAAAGTCCTTCTAAACATATCAAGGAATAAGTTTCACCAATTTGCCGAGTTGCTTTTGCAATGCTTTTACGACCACAATGACTACTAATGGTGACTCACTATTACAATTTTATTCTCTGTGATCAGGGTTGGAAAGATGACAGATAATCTAACAGGTGATTGCTCAACAAGCTCAAAGAAAAGGAAGAAAGCTTGCAAAAGTAGAGGAGAGACAAGTGAGTAATTGGTTTGAATTTCTTGACATACTTACACATCTTTGTTATAACAATCACAATAATATTGTGCAATGCTTCCTTATCTAGGAAAATTGCATGTGGATAACATTTTTGAAGAGGAGTTTGGGAGCTTGAAGAGCTCTGGTCAAGGAGCATGGAGTGAACTGAGTAAAGTAGTAGTGTCAAACTTATCTGAAAGTGTTGTCTCGCTGGCTTC